GTTCCAGAGGAGACACAGAGAGAGAGGTGTCTGGCCAGGCATTGCGATGCATTCAGTCTCAGGTTCTTCATAAAGCAGGAAAGAGAGTCCCTCCTGCCTTAGAAATGAGGAGACAGACCAAACTGGTTGGTGGCATGGCTGGCAGGTTGCAGTTAGGGCCAGGACCCACAGCCCTGGTTCTTTGGCTCCTCCGTTCCCCATGGGTTCCCCTTTGCCCATCAACTCCTGCGCTTCTGTGTGACCCAGCGCGGGGCCTTCCTTCTGCCTCCCTCCCCTGCTTGCTTGTGCGGCCACATCTGCATGCCTGGCGGTGGTCAGGAGTACTCTGGAGATCCCTCTTTTTTTTTTTGAGATTGATTCTTGCACTATCACCCCAGCAGTAGCGCAGTGGCACGATCTCTTCTCTGGGGTTCAAGTAATTCTCCTGCCTCAGCCTCCCGAGTAGCTGGGACTACAGGCGTGTGCCACCATGCCCAGCTTTTTTTTTGATTGTTTAGTAGAGACGGGCTTTTACCATGTTGGCCAGGATGGTCTCAATCTCCTGACCTCGTGATCCGTCCGCCTTGGCCTCCCAAAGTGCAGGGATTACAGGCATGAGCCACCGTGCCTAGCCAAGATCCCTCTTACTTGTCCCTGGCAGACTCCCCTTTGACCACAGCTCCAACCCTCTGGCTTTGTCTTGAGTCCTGGTGCTGGGGCTGGATTTGGAGTTTGGACTTGATAGGCAGAGACTACCTTTCTCAGCGGACTTCAGCTTGGCAGCACCCGGCTCTCAACCCTGCACTCCTCGGGCAGGTGTGTGCCTCTCCACCTCCTGGTCTCCATTCCCATCACAAGGCTGCGTCCTCCTAGATTGGGCGGGCTGATTCTGACACCTGGTGTTCAGTTACCAAGCATTTATTAAGGAACAGCTCAACAGCCACAATTATCAGGACTTGTGTATCCTCATTTTGCGGTTTTTCAGTTGACTAATGAGACCTGTGATTTTGCGTTCTTCATGTTATCTGGCTGTCAAATGGAATCATGCCATTCATTAACTATAGTGAGATAGTATATATGCGTATTATGATGTTGACTTTCCTCAAAAGAAAGCTGCTGTAAAAGTCCAGCTACCAAAAATAGTGAGACACTTTCCAGGATATTACCAAATTTCAAACACAGGAATTTCAACAGCAACGAAATGGAACTACATTTTAATGCCAGGCAGCTCTGTGTAAAGGTGTTTTCTGTTTCAGGAAATGTAGCCTTAATATTAAGAGTAGTTTTTGTAAAAGAACAAACCGTGGTTTCGTTTTTCAAAATATGTTTTATTTGGGTAGTTTAGTGAGAAATGGCAAAAGGTTATTAGCAAGTAACTAAGGAAGAGAAACCAACAAGTAGGCAGCCGTGAAGTTAGGGAATATCCCAGAAAAATGCCAGAGGAAGAGTAGGATGGAAATGGTGCCCTTCACTGGGGAGGGCCCCAGAGGAGCGTGTCCTTGCCAGTCCCCTGTGAGCACTGACGTCACAGGCATCTACCCTGCTTAGTTGTCCCCGGCCTAAAGGGGACATGTGTGATCATGCCATGGTAGTCTTTCATAAATCCTTTCATTCTGAGAAGAGTGATTTTAAAAAATACTTTCTATTTAACTTTATTATCTGAATATGAAAAAACAGTTCAAAAGTCAAACTGTATAAAAAGATACACTCAGAAGAATCTTGCTCTTGCCCCTGTCTCTTCCACTCCATCCATCCTCCACAGGTAAGCATTTTCACTGGTTTTTACAGAGACAGATCTCTAAATTTAAAACATTTTATTTAGGAAGTAAGCATTGCAGTCTGGGCCATACACACTGACTGGGTGGTTTCAGTATGTCTGAAGAACAAAGAGAAGTTTGGAAGTCTTGTAAAAAAGGAGAAATGTCAGGGATTTTTTTTTTTTTTTTTTTTTTTTTTTTTTTTTTTTTTTTTTTTTTTTGAGACTGAGTCTCCCTCTGTCACCCAGGCTGGAGTGCAGTGGCGCCATCTTGGCTCACTGCAACCTCTGCCTCCCAGGTACAAGCGATTCTTCTGCCTCAGCTGGGACTACAGGCACGTGCCACCATGCTCGGCTAATTTTTTATATTTTTAGTAGAGATAGGGTTTCACGGTGTTAGCCAGGATGGTCTTGATCTCTTGACCACGTGACCTGCTCTCTTCCGCCTCTCGAAGTGCTGGGATTACAGGCGTGGGCCACCGTGCCTGTGGGGTGGTTTTGAGAGTTGTTTTTTGGCACTAGTGAAGTTTTGGGGAGCTGGGAAGCTCTCATTGGTGAGGGATAGGGCTGGGTAAGCTAGTCTGAGAGTCATGGCAGGCAGTTTTGGCAGCCAGGCTTGCCCAGAATGACTTCTTGGAGCAGTGCTATGTGCTCTTGAGTGTTTTGCCCCTCTGGCCTTGGCTCTGTTAGTTGGGTAGGACAAGAATGACCCTTATGATCAATTTTCACACACTCTAGTATGTGAAAAATAATCCTTCCTGTGATTGTTTTTAAATTTATTGGTATATAATAATTGTTCATATTTATGGGATGGATGTGATGTTTTGATGTGTGCACCCTAGGATTCTGTTTGTATAAAGCAGGCCAAATACACACGTTTCCTTTGGCGCCGAGGATGGTATACTGAACGTATGTTTTTGTTTCTGCATATGCATTTTCACTAACACCATATCTTGGGGATCATCTCACATCAGCTCTCAGAGGCCTTTGTTCTTTCTTGCTAGAGGTGGGCAGAGTAAGTTTCTCAGGGGAGCTCTGGTGAGTCCGGAAGATACTGTACCAGGGACTGTCAATTTTGCTACCGCAAAGAAGCTATGGGACCTGGAAGAAGACTCTCGCCTTAATTTGTAAAGTGGCATTCCTCATACTCCTATACCCCAGAGACAATGTGCATTCAGAAATGTGGCATTATTTTGTCTGATTGGAAGAAAAAGTTTTTTCTGAAACACATTGCATTAGTGATGGAGATGTGGTATTAGAGTATCAAGTGACTGCTTCAGATCCGGAAACCTTTAACCAAGAGGAATTGCAGAAAAGGCTGCTGTGGAGGCCAGAGCCACTCCTTATTTCCACTGCCAGCCCGTGCGCCCGGCTCTCGCCTCGTGGCTGTGGCGTGTCTCTGCCGAGCAGCCTTGGAGCACTGAGGCCGCGGGCAGGAAGGGGGCTGTGGGCTTGAGTTCTGCTGTTCCCTGGCCTCACTTCTTGATCGTGTGGAACTTAAGTGTCAGGTTCCAGGAACGTTTGCCCGTCGATGGTGGTGATGGAGAATAAGAAAGACTCGCTTAAAGTGACACATGGAAGGCAGACCTGGTTTCTCCGTTTATCACAGAAGACTCTAGTGAAAAGAATTGTAATTTGGGGCAGAGACCTGAAATTTCTCTTCCTTGCCAAAATAAATTGATTTCGTCAGCTGTCTGAGCTTCATTTCTTAAACTGGACAGGAGCTAACCTAGTCTAAATTAAACTCATTTTCCATTAATAAAACTAGGTCACACCAGGCTGCCTGAGTATGCCTCTGAGTATCTCAAAGCACATTCTCCAAAATCCAGGCGTTCCTGCCATTTTCGTAAGCCATCACATGTCGCCAGCCTGATGTTGGCTCTCACCTCTCCCATGGCATGCCGCTGTAGATGTAGGGCCTGTGTCTAACTCCTTTCCAGCTGCAGGCCAATTGTGGCAGGAGGGCATTGCTGTACAGCTGCTGGGGCTGCGGACAGGCTAAGAGGAAGCTGACCTAGCCATTCTCCCGCTGGAGGACGGGCTTTGGGCAGGACGGTCCTGCCTCGCCCAAGTAAAGCATTGTTTTGCTGTTCCTTTGCTGTTCCATTCCTGCTGCTTCCCAGCAGGAAGCACCATAAGGTTTCGAAGATTTTATTTACACATGGGGGCCGATAAACTAGATCATGCAGGTAGGAAGTTATGAATTTACAACAAAAATGACAGCACAAATGGAATAATTTTAGAAAAGCCTTGTTCAGCTAGGCAGAGCATCTCTGCATGGAGAGCTCCCTGCCTGGAGAGCAGTGGGGACGCTGGCCTGCCTCACTTGCTGGAGGTTTGTAGGAGCCTCCAGGTGGCATCTGGCCCCTGCTCCAAGGCCTGTGCACACTCCCCTGCCCTGCCGTTCCTGTGGATGTCTGGAGCTGGTCTTACCTGGAAAGCCCAGGAGAGGCTCCCATTGTCTTTCCTTGTTCCTCCTTTGTCTTCCTGCACATGAGAGAGGGCCGCGAGTGAACCGTGACTTGCAGCATCTGGCAGACATAGGTCGGAATGTGGGTTTAGCATATTCTGAAATACGCAGATCTAGAAATGCTAAAGCTATTGGAGATGTCTTTCTAAAATGGAAATTGAGGGGCAGTGGAAGTCTTTGCAGTGCCTTATTTCTAGCATTCTTGTGTAATCTGAAGTATCATACCAAGTACATTTTAAACAGTAGATTGTCTTTAATTTACCTTTTCATTAAAATGCTCATATCTCTCATGAAAGGTTTTTAAAGAAACAAAGTTGGCCGGGCGTTGTGGCTCACGCCTGCAATCCCAGCACTTTGGGAGGCCAAGGTGGACCTATCACGAGGTCAGGAGATTGAGACCATCCTGGCCCACATGGTGAAGCCCCATCGCTACTAAAAATACAAAAATTAGCTGGGCGTGGTGGTGTGTGCCTGTAATCCCAGCTACTCAGGAGGCTGAGGCAGGAGAATCGCTTGAACTAGGGAGTTGGAGGTTTCAGTGAGCCGAGATCTCACCACTGTATTCCAGCCTGGCACAGAGGGAGGCTCTGTCTCAAGCCTCAAAAAAAAAAAAAAAAAAAGAAATAGTCGTGAGAAAGGGGAGGGCTGTCACGTAATACATTGTCTGCCCTGATATCCCAGCTTTCCGTGGGTTAAGCTGTGTCCTCTCAGGTTTCTTTGCTGCCTTTGTGAGACCTTCTCAACAAGATGGAGATTCCTGAGTGCTAACAAAGTTTTTCTTGCTTCTATTTGCAGTGCACAGAAGCCAAAAAGCATTGCTGGTATTTTGAAGGACTCTATCCAACCTATTATATGTAAGTATTTGCACTTTTCTGTGGTTTCATTCTGTGGCAGTACCTTTCTCTGGGAATTGTCTTGCTAAAGGTCTGGGTGTGGGATAGGGAAAGCCCGGTGTGGCCCAGCCTCTACTGTGGTGCCAGGCCTGCCTCGCTGGGGGATGAGCAGGCAACCTCACCCTGGTATCCTGCCCATTCAGACCAGTTACGCTGAGGACGATCTGAAATCCTGTGCCCTGTTCTGTGATGCAGGTGAGCTCACATGTGAGGGGAAAATGGGGGTGACATGTCTGTGGAAGACAAACGTTATGTTGGCTTGTGCACATTTTCCTAGGCAAAGAAAGCAAGGATCGTAGGAGTAGACTTAGGACCGCAGTGGAGCCACTGTGATGGTGTGTGTGTGTGCGCGTCTGTGACTGTGATGGGGTGTGTGTGTGTGTGTGTGTCTGTGCACATGTGTAGGAAGTCACAATGATCGCCTGTCTCTTGAGGCTTCCTCCCCAGAGAGCTGCCGTCACAGCCTCTCAGCTCAGAGCAGGTTATACACCTTCCGGGCCCCCCTCACTGTCTGCCAGTCTTGCTGTAATGAGGGCATGGCTGCATTTTCTCCCTGTGGTTTTCGTGTGTTTGTAATATCTGCCGTGGTAGCCACCAGCCCTGTGGAGCCACCTACCTCAGTGGCTACATTAACTCTCCAGGTTATCAGTTCCTGTTTTTGATTCTGTTTTGAAGTTCCTTAGGTATTGAGTGGAATGCCCTAACCAAAATTTCCCAAAAACTCGATTATTCTTAGTATTGAATTTTGTAAAACCTGAGATTCTTCAGGCATATAATTGTAGTCTAGCAGAAACACTGTATATTCTAGCTTATAGGGTAATTGGGTAGGAGACGTATAATAACAGCAGAAAGGGCTATTTTTTAATCTGTCAGAACATACCTTTTTCTTACCTGTCATTATTATTTTTTTCTTTTCCGAGACGGACTCTTACTCTGTCACCAGGCGAGAGTGTAGTGGGGCAATCTCACTGCAGCCCCCGCCTCTGGGTTCAATCGATTCTCATGTCTCAGACTCCCAAGTAGCTGAGAATGCAGGCATGTACCACCATGCCCAGCTAATTTTTGTATTTTCAGTAGAAACGGGGTTTCTCCATGTTGGCCAGGCTGGTCTCGACTCCTGACCTCAAGCGATCCGCCTGCCTTGGCCTCCCAAAGTGCTGGGATTAGAGGTGTGAGCCACCTTGCCCAGCCTCGTCCTTGTCATTCTTGAGGAGCCCAGTGTAGGAGGGGAAGGTTGCCCATCTGTCAGTGGGGGTGGGGCACGGAGAGGCTGGCCATGTTCCTCGTCTTGGTTTTATACTGACAAGCAGGAGTCAATATGCCCCATGGCGTGGAGGCCCTGGCAGGAAGCCTCTGCAGCTGCAGAAAGACAGACCCCACTTGGAAAATAAAGCAGCAGTGTAAAGACTGGGGCTCTAATTACAGAATTGTCAGATTGAAGAGAAATGGTAATGGGATAACAGGAAGAGAAAATATTTTGGGCCTTCTCGGCGTAATGAATTTTCATCAGTACACTTTATTTCCTTGTTCACCTTCTTGTGCAAATGTGGACCTTGGGCCTCCTGTGTGTACTGCCTTGAAAACCTATTTCTCCAGTTGTTTTATAGATGAGCTTTGTCAGCTTGCGCGTCATAGGTCACTGCTGTTCTTGTATTGACTTGTTCATTTGTTCTTTATTAATTCACTTGTTCCCTGCATATTGTGAAAGTATTTTACATTGAGTTGGAACCAGGGAACACAGAGACAAGCCCTGCTTTTGTCACTCAGGCCTGTGGCTCGGTTTTCTTTCCTGCTTTTCTCTTCCAATGGTGGGGAGAAGGATCCAGAGCACCTTAAGTGCACTGTCTAGAAAAATGGAAAAGCCAAGTGACTGTTAGAACACGAAGCTCAGCATGGGAATAACAGCAGGTAATAGTTACTAAGCGCCTACTCCAGGCCCAGCGTTGTCCTGTGCCCCGTACGTGAATTGAGGTCTTCTGACCTCATGGTGCCAGAAAACGCCACCCCACCCACTGGTCTTCTCGGTTCTGACTCTGGTCTTTCTGTTTCTCCTCTGGTTCCTAGTGCCCTCACTCACATTCAGATCTGTGAATGCCCCTCTGAACCACTGCAGAAACTTTCTAACTGGTCTCCTTTCAGCCTCTGCTCCCATCCAGTTCTCACTTCTTTCTAAATTTTCATGTCACTTTTTTGCTTAAAACCATCAGGAACAAGGTCCTTTTAACAGTAGACTTTCAAGAGAGTGTCTGGCTTTATCTTCCTTCCCTATTGTGAGTCTCATGAGGGCAACAAGTTATAAATACTTGACTCCCCAGCAAGGCATAGGATAGTGCCCGACACAGCGGCCATCCTCGTTGGTGAGCGGATGCATTTCCTTGCAGTTCCCACCGTTCGGTCAGCAGCGCTGACCCACGCAGGGGACCTTTGGTTGTTTCCCAGTTCTCTGAGCTTCTTCTGACGCAGTTCCCCTGTCCCCTTAAGAGTTTGTTCCTCCCTCCCTGTTTTGGCTCTGAGAGAGTGCTGACAACACCAGTGAACTGCGCCAGGTGGCGAGTGCTTCGGGATGGGGCCGTGGGCTCTGCATTCTGTGACCCTGCCGCCTGGCCCAGTGCATGGCACCTGATGTTTGTCATCATGTTCGTGCAGAGTTCACATATTTGCCATTACTTTTTTATTTAATTGGGGTGAAATTCAGAGAAAAGAATTAACCGTTTTAAAGTGACCCATGCAGTAGCATGGAGCACATTCCCCACGTGGTGCGGTCCCCACCTCTGTATAGCAGCAGCCTTCCCATCCCTCCGCTCTGTTATTGGCGCTGCGATCTTGGCAGCTGCTTCCTCTGTAAAACCTGCTGGGTTTGAGGCACGGGGCATGTACGTGGCCAGTGCAGAAGTTGTAAGAACAGAACAAACCCAAGGCCAGCTCACCTCTCTCACGTATGCTCATGAGATTAGTGCTACAGACTCAGTGTGCCACTTCCCCGCACATGCGAGGGACGGCAGTGTCCTGATATAGCAGTGAACCCAGTGTGGTACCAAGGAGAAAGGGCAGCTAGCACACGTGTGGTGGCTTGTCCAGTGCCCTAACCGGTCCAGAGATTTAACACTCAAAAGGTGTCTTCTCCAAAGCTGTTTTCTCCACTGTCCATCAGGTTGGGGTCATGAAGCATTTTTCTTCAAGGACAATGAGTAGAAATTGCTTAGCTGTATTCTACTCCATCCAAGCATATCTTGCTCCAGGAGAGGTCTGCTGCAGGCAAAAGACGGTAGCAGCACCCCCACTGGAAGTGCTTGGCCTGCAGGAGGCACAGCTGCCCTAGAGTTAACCTTGAGGGCACGTTATTGTTGATCGCTGGAGCCCGCTGTGGTTTCTGCCACCTTGGTGCAGAAGGCAATGCAGGTACAGGAGACTCGTATCCAGCCCAGGCTCGCCCTTCTTCCGGAGGCCTGGGCGGGATGCAGTGGAGGCTGGCGAGCTGCCATTGCACACCACGGCTGGCCTGGCCTCTGGACACATGGCCAGTGTGCAGGGTGTTGTCCTGGGGATGGTGACGGCTGCACCTCATTCATTCCAGACGCAGGTATCTGTGGAGGGCCACCACGTGTCAGGTGTGGTGCGTTGTGGTGTGCAGGACAGGGAGGGTACCTGTGCCTCAGGCAGCAGTGGTACAGTCACGTGAGACTGGTCATTTCTGAAACATGTTTAACATTACATTTAAAAAAACCTTAAAATTGGCCGAGTGCAGTGGCCTGTAATCCGCCCTTTTGGGAGGCTGAGGTGGGCAGATCTCCTGAGCTCATGAGTTTGAGACCACTGTGGGCAACATGTTGAAATCCCATCTCTACTAAAATATACACACAAAAGATCAGCTGGGCATAGTTGCGCAAGCCTGTAGTCCCAGCTACTCGGGAGGCTGAGGCATGAGAATTGCTTGAGCCCTGGAGGCGGATGTTGCAGTGAGCCAAGATGGTGCCACTGCACCCCAGCTTGGGCTACAGAGTGAAACTCCATCTCAAAAAAATCTTAAATTATAGTAGATGTCATGTAAAATGTACGTATATTCTACGTTTAATTTCATCTGAGTAAAGTGCTTTATCTAAGATTCTCCAAGATAGATTATTCCTTACAAATACGTTGACTGAGGGTGGCGTCCTGTTTTGTTAGAGGTTGTTTTTTTTCTTTCCCCTGTGGAAAATGTATTTCAAATAACACCTCTGTTTTGTGAGTGTAACTCATCATGCGGAGTGCATTGGGAAGGGAACACCTAGGTTGCAAACTTGTTTTAGAGATTTTACTTCTATATTTGATAATCTGATTTCATTCTATCTCGCCGGAAATCACAGATGGCAGCCACCTTCTCCCCACTCTGCCTGTCCCTGAATTTCATTCCAGCATGCCAGTTAGTAAGCTAACAGAGACTGATCTCTTTTAATGAAATGTAGGTTTTCCGCTGTTGCTACCTAGACATTCAAAATTATTCTCACCTGTTCCGATTTCTTTGTGCTAAATGATCTCTCTTTCTACCCTATCCCTGCATCAAGGTTTGTTTCATTTCCTTAATTTGCTATTTTTCCATTGTTGGTATGGGAGACTGTGTATTACATGTATAAACAAGATATTCTCCTTTTTGAAGAAAAAGACCGTTTGGGATCTGAACAGAAAAGCAATATATTCCCGTTCCCTCCAATAATGTTTCTTTTTCCCTTCCACTTTCCTTCACTACCTGCCTTTCTTGTTGCAAGCTGCCCTTCCAAGAGCTCTGAATTAAAATGTGCCTCTCTGTGCTTTGGGTCAGGGCTTACTAGGTGTCTCCTGTTAGCAGCATGTGGTTTCAAAATAGCAGGTGTCTGTGTGGCCCCAGCAGTTCCCGGCCCGTGGCTTGCATTCTCCCCTCGAGTCACACTTCTGCCCAGGCCTTGCTCCCTCAGCTCCTTTGGCAGCGTGGCCTGAAATGGGCCACC